ATTTACTGCTTGCAAACCAATGATGGTAAGATGATGTCATGGGGTAGGACTGGATAAGTCTGACTTCTTCCTACTCCATTCAAGCATGTACTAGGTATAAGCAAATTGATACTGGATTAGCATTTGTTATGTGTAAAATTATGTGTGTTGACATATCAACTGTCTTTACATGCTTGAAAGAATAAATCAAATCAAATCAAATCAAAGTATCTATATAAGGTGTTTACAATCACAGTGTTTCTGGTCTCAGACCACACAAGTAGAACTTGAATATTTCACATGAGTAAGAAACATGGGTCAGCTTCCATTCTCAGTGTATTCTGTTCTAAACAGCTGCTTGATCAAAGGAGAGGTAAATGGTGTACAATCCTAACTCTGAGGCAGAACTCTGTACTCTGTATTTTGCAGATCACTGTTTCACCACCTTTTTGCTTATGCTCTCTTATCTGTGTGTGTATAGCCACGCCACAAATGGCAAATTACATATTACATAGAGTAGCATTTTATTATTATTATCATCATAATTGAAATGAGTGCGTCTACTGAATATTCAATGTACATGCATGTCCACAAGCTTAATCTAACCTTGAGGCTCTTGGGTTGCTGGCGAACCTCCATAACATGTTTGCGTCGGAGTTCCCTCTCCCTCCTCTTGTTGTACTCCTGCTGATTGGTGAGCTCTGTCTGGTGCTGCAGGCGGATCAGCTCGGCCCTCGTCTTTTGGATGGTGTTAAGCTGGCGGAACTCCAACTCTTGCATGGACTCATGGTGCCGGAGAAGCATAGCATGTTCCAGGTCTTTCTGGGTCTGACGCTTGTTTAGCTCCTAATTGCATGCACATGGAGAGACAAACATCAAAGAGATGAGACTGTCATACCAAAGATAGCACAAAAAAAAAAAACTAAAGGGACCATTTTTTGTCTGTTAAGGGATTAGTTAATATTTGGAACATTTGAGACTCAGCGGTACAGTTTAAGATGGAGTACTGACCTCTCGCACTAGGTCCTGTTCAATATTGTGGCGAGCAATCAAGATCCTTCGTTTGAACCTGCGGCACTCAAGCTCTAGATATTGCCTCTGTCTACGCTGTAAGTTAGCTTCCTCCTCCGCTTGGAAGTGTTGGAAGTTCTCCTTCTGCTTGGACAACCACTCCTGCTTTTCTTTCTTGGGCGTTGACTGGTTTTCATTCAGTTCCTATAGGGAAGACGGCTTGTAGGTCACTAATAAGACTGACTTCAATGATGTGTATTAGCTAACAGTCAATATGATGAAATGCACACTTATGTGGAGCAAGCATGCAAATGGATCTCCCTACCTCTTTCAGTTGTTCCTTGCGAAGTTTGTACTCCCGTTTTTGGGATTCTAAGAAGCTGTTGAGCTCTTTCTTCTGCTGACTCTGGATATGCTGTTGAAACCTCTTTTCATCATTGCTAAATGTTTTTGCCTGATGCAGAAATGCACATCACAATCAGTTTGATCTATGCAACATAACAGCCAGTGTAAATGGTAACTCTTAAAACACATACAGTAAATGGGTCAAAACATACATCTTTCTCCATGGATGCCTGGTGTTTCTTGATCAGTTTTTCCATTTCCTGGGCAAAGCTATTTCTCTGGTTCTCCAGCTCCTTGTCCAGACGAAGCCTGTGCTCATCCATCTCAGCTTTCAGCTTGTTTTCCAGAGCCATCAGCTGTTTCTGGTGCTGCCGTCTCATGCGCTTGTAGCCCAGTATCTGCTCCCTTAACTCAGAATCCTGCTCGTGCTCCTTAATCTGGCGAGTGAGCTGGCAGAGATCAGACACAGATTCTCTTTATATTACTGTTGCTGAGTCGAACACTCTTGAGAGAACAATATATATGTGAGACAACCATATGTATCACACAAAAGGGGGCTATTAAGATATTATGAGAAAAATTGACAGTTTTAAAGGAGCATATCCAAGTGCATAAATGTTTCATGCTGGATCCTGGCACTGCTTCAGATTCCATACTACTTTTAAGATTTAGAGCAAAGCCATTCAATGTTCATGAGGACAATATGTCAAATTTGTTTGCCTTTTAACAACCCATAGGTGTGGAAAAAAATCCTCCAGATATAGATGCAGTTACTTAGCCATTAAATGGTTATTTTAGCCATCTTCTTATATGATAGCACAATAACTGTGTAATTACCACTGAAGCTGTGCGTATGGTGGCAAAGTGTTCACGGTTTCGTTTTGGCCGCGGAGCGTGTGCGGGTGGTGACTGTGGTTCAGTTGGACGGGTGTGAGGTTCTGACACTTGATTATATGACTGTTCCTCCTGTAGGGGATGCAAACATGGACAGAAGAATATCTTACAATTACTATAACCAATTTTACACAGTTAACACCATACAAAATGTGGCCTCAGTGTGTGGGGCCACTGGAACCTGAATTTCTTACCGGCTTGAGGTGTATGACGGAGCTGTTGGACATGACTGTATGGTCTCCCTCCATGTCCACCTCACTCTTATCATCACCAGCATCAGTTAGACTGTTGACTGAGCTGCTCTGGGAACTGGCACTGATTGACATACTGGGGATGGATTGGTTGCTCCCCACGCTGTTCACTGTACCTGTCCTACCCACACTGTGCTCTGGCTCCTAAAAATAAATACAACTATTATTCAGAAAGCACTGCACTCAAGGTATGAGTCAGGTGCACTCAGCAAAAGTTCAACAAATAAAATCAAAAAGATGCCTTCGCACTCTGAAGAATGCTTCAAATATACATTTTATTTCTTAAGCTTAAGCCTCCTCTTCATCTTGTGCCTCAGTTGTGGGGCCATTGTGGGCTTCCTGAAACAAGATCTTCTTCATTTTACGATACTGCAGATTGTCCAGCTCCCGCACTGCATCCTTAGTCCGACTTATGAGGTCTATTAAAACTGAATCTGGCCGCTCACGCTGTACAAATGCATGCTGGAGGAAGAATGCAGAGAAGATGTGCTGCCCATGTGGCTATAAGGATTAACTGTAAAGCATATCAGCCTGTCATAGCCAGTTTTTGATTCTTACCTTTAAGAGCTCCTCAGAGTTGGGTCTATCCTGGGGAAATTTCTGAAGGCAAGAATCTACAAAGTTTCGAAAATAATCCGACCTAAAATTGAGAGATGAAATGTAGAAAAAGGACAGCTGTAGTCATTTTATGGTCTATGGAGTTTGTTTCATAAGTGTACAGCAGCTCTTATAAACTCACCATTCACTCGACTGCAGTGTGGGGCTCTCATTCTGTGCTATATGGTATAAGGCACTCATTGCATTCATGTTGAACAGTGGAGGCTTCCTCTCAGCTGTAAACCAAGTAGCAGGTTACACCGAGGAGTCCGGTGTGAAGAAAAATCAACGGCCAACATATTCATTTAATGACTAACTAAATGAACAAAAATTGCTGGACATGAGGTGTTTGTAAAAGTATAACAAGAGATTTATGCATGCAAGCATTTCCACAATAAATTAAACTTGTCTTATTATTACTATGAATCAGGCCATATACAACAGAGACAGTACCTAATTCAATGCATGTAATCCCCAAAGACCAAATGTCCACCTTTCCATCATACTGACCCTCATCCATAGCTAAAATTACTTCTGGGGCCATCCTGTGAAAAGAAACACATGCAGAACACTAACAAATGTATATATGACAATTTTATGAAAAATCTGCTGAAGTGCTATGAGAGGAACCTTTAATGTACACGTTTTGGAGCATACCAATATGGAGTCCCAACAAAGGAGTTGGCCGGACAGGCAATGGAAGCAGAACCGAAATCTGCTAGCTTTACTTGCCCTGGTTCTGTCAGCAGGATGTTCCCTGCCTTTATATCTCTGTCAAACGCATGAGAGGAAATGATTACAGCACCACACATAAGTCACAACACCATAAGACATGAGCATTCAGTGTCCAGCATGCTCCTGAACACCTGAAACACTCACCGGTGAATCATGCTATGGGAGTGAAGATAGGCCAACCCTTGTAGAGCACCATGGGTAATTGCAGCTATTTCGACTTCTTGCAGAGGTTTTTTGTGAACTAGAAGGGATACATTCACCAACAACAACGCAAGTCAGGATAAACTGGACACGGGAGACTGCTCTCTCTGCTTGTAGTCATGCTGACTCATGAGTTCCAAGGTTTTCAACTCACCTTCTAACAAATCTGAAGCAGAGCCCAGACAATACTCCATTACCAGCTGCAAAAAAATAAAGAGTTTGGTGTCCCCTTTTTTTAATCAGTAACATTTTAGTTGTACAGTATCATCATCCACACTGACACACTCATGGAGAATCTTACCCAGGCGGTGTGCTCTCGCAGGTAACATCCTTTGTACTCTATGCTGTTTGGATGTTGTATTCTCTGCAGGAATTTCACCTCTTTGATTATGTCTTGCCATTTCTGTGAAAATCATAAAAGACAAAGGACTAAAAGAACAAAAAATAATATTCCTGACCAAACATTTTAACATCTGCCTGTAAATATATAGTACTGTGCAAAGGTCTTGGGCCACCATTAGTTTTGCTGTTTTAGCAAGGTTGTAATGACAATTTATATTTATGTCTCAGTCTCTTAAATAAGGTATAACCTGTAAAGACATGACATATGTACATATTATTAGAAAACAAAATTTTCAGAACAAAATGGCTTCTACAGTCCAAAGTCAGGTGAACTTCCTTTGCACTTCCTGGCTTGTCCAGTCAACATGTCACCGGTGTGTGAATGCGTGAGTGCTTGGGAGTGCGAATGGGTGAATGGCCGAATAATGTGAAAGCGCTTTGAGTGTGCTGTGAAAAGCATAGAAAGGCGCTATACAAGTATAAGACCATTTACCATTTACCACTTAGCACAGCTTAAATTCTTTTGAGGAGATCGTCTTGAAACCATGACAACCCTCCACCATGTTTCACTGCTACACTCATTCGTCCACCTCTCTCCAACTCTTCTTCTCACATACTGTTGACAATTGGACCTGAAAAAGTCAAACTTCCACTCATCGCTCCACTGAGACTCTTTTCCAGTGATCTTGAAACTTTGTGAGCTTTTACATATCAGTTTTCTTGGTGTTCCACTCCTGTTTTTGTCCTTGACCTTTCTGGATTCTTCAAATTTCTTTAGAACAGCTTGAACACCACATCCAGAATATCTAGTTGGTTTGATGATTTTTCCTGACATTTTTGTGTTTTTTATACTGCAAACATATTTCTTAGATTTTCTAGTTGTATTCTGATAACAAGACCGAGAAATTAATATATACAGTCACCATAACATTGCTACAACAACAGATCTAATGGTGGCCTAAAACTTTCACATAGTACCGTAGGTTAGACAAAGTTATCCTACCTCACTGGACTGCTTTCCATTGTAGGACATCTTCTTGATGGCCACCACCTCATTTGTCCGCACATCCCGTGCCTGAATTAGCACATTACATACTGGTGTGATTATCATCTTCACTTCATAATTTCACCAGCAATTTATGTTTTGGTTAGGTGACATAAACTACATGGGCTACTGCAGAAGTATCACTTCTTTAGTATTTTGGGATGCAGGCAATAATTAATTTCATCTCTATTATTTGCCTGTAAAGCTTAAATAATGTCTGTTTGCATTATTAGAATTGATGGTCGCTATGTGTGACCTCATCACCCCAACCGTCATGATAACATAGTCTGTATTAGAGGCCCAACGTCATGACACACACGGGATTTCAGACTATGTAGACTCAGTGTAGCTGCTGGGCCAACATGGAACCTTAACAACAAATATCAGTTTTCTGCAAGAAATTGGGACTTCTGATACAAAGTTCTGTAGACTGACTTGCATAAGCAATGAATGCTTCTAACTGCCTGGACATACTATAATATCTACACTACAAAGCATTTCAACACATTATACAAAAACATCTGTCACATCCACAAATCACATTTTCAAAGACACAGACAAAACTACACCACCAGAAGCCTGAAATAACACAATAAGCATTTTTTTTCTTTCAAGTGTGCTTGCACAATAATTTCCAAGAAGTCAAAGTGTTAGGCTGACACACTAACACGGCATTGCTAACAGCGCTGCATTTTTACAATCATTCTGAAACTGTTTAAGGATCTTGTTAGTTGTTGTGGCTCATAGGACAAATGTCCTCCAATCTCCAAATACTGAAAAAGCATGATTTACTGAGGTCATCAAGCCAATGGCTTTGATTGCAGCAAAGCCCCCATCTTCCAAGCCTATTCTGTACAGGTTTGACTGTCCAAAACACATTCATAACACACTTTTCTGTTAGAGGTTGGGATTTTCCTCATTTTTGGGAACAGTATCACTGCAACATTCATTTAATCCTTTGTAACAATAATCTTGAGGTATACAACTGAAGCATCACTCAAGTCACAATGAATCTCTTTGATTAAATGAGCCTGGGTTAAAAGGAAGCTTTGGCTATATCCTAAATTTTAATGGTAAAAACAATCAATAAGTACTGAGACACATATTAAATCATTGTTGGTTTTTGCTCATTTTATAAAATGTATTGACAATAATGAAAATGTGATGAAAATACTGCCAGCCTCATCCTTTAAGCCGCTGTGTCTCTAAGTGGAAAATGCTATGTCCTCACTGATATGAATGAGAAGGCTTTATTTTTTTATGCAGTTGTGATGTCAGACTGAACGTGGCCTTTGTTTTGGCCTTGATTTATGTTTCTGCATTAAGTCTAGACCTACGCCACAACCTGACATGCACCTCTTCAGAAATTTAACTGCTTGCCACGGAAAGGCAGACAACAACAGCTGTGATTGTTTGCAGCACATTTCCTCATTTATGTCTCTCAGCAGCAAGACAAGCACAGAAAATCACCCTGTTCTGCCCCAGTTAGTTAAGTGGTGGTACAGACCATCCCCTCCCACGTCTGCTCTCTTATCTGTGTTGTAGTAATTTAAGTAAAAGTATTGCTGTTCAACATCTATTAATTTTAACTCCAATATGACCCACTCAGGTTCAGTCACCATTATTTGTAAGTGGCAAAGGAACAACACAGTGGCACAGAAACCCCACCGCCAACTAGTGTTTTGGTGCTGTAATTGCAGGGTGAGGCAGACACACCAGCACATGAGTATAAATGTAGACAATACCACAGACCACTTACATAGCCTACGGCATAAGCTCTGTGGAGATTTAAAGCAGAACCATAAATCAAGCTTTAGAGCGTGAAATACTCACAAAATATACAGCACCAAAGCTGCCATGTCCAATCTCACGCAGATCTGTGAAGAGCTTTTCTGGGTCCTCCTTGTAGAAGAGCTCAGCAATTTCGGGGTCCTTCAGGCTCCCCGCCCGACTGCTGTTGGGCATAATGGGGAGCTGGGGGGCAAGGCCGCTGCCGCCAGCAACTGTCTGGGTCTGCAACAGCGACTTGAGAGCCCCCACTGATGGTTCATCTGCAGGACAGTGGTCTCACATGTGTTCAGAGCTGAAAAACAAGAACGAGCACACTGAAAAAATACAATAGCAGCAGCAGAGTGGTAGAACGTAACGTACGCATGTGTCCCCAGTATTAATTACAGGGCTTCATTATTAAGAGTGAAAGGAGAGCAGAGAAGTACAATAAGCTCCAAGAGTGGTCCAGGCAGTTTTGGGGCACAATATATACAGGAGCTGTATACCCTCTACTTTACTGATATCTTCCCTTACCACTGGTAATGTTATGCAACAAAACTTCTTCTGCCTATTAAGCTGAGTGAGAGGCAGCTACACAAAACATGAACTGAACCATGATGGCAGGTGTGAATGTGGAGAATGGTCAGAAATCCTGAGCCAGCAAGAGATAAGTCTCCTGTTTCCATGGTAACAGCAACCACAGTGGACAGGAAATCAGTGGGCTGTGTCCTGACAACCTCCCTCATACCTTCAGTGACTTGGTATGTAGACAGAGAAGATGTAAGGAAGACACAAAGAACAATCTTGCAGCTGCCAATCTCAAGCTCAAACAGATCAGCCGAGGTAACAATAAGTTGCTTCACCGCAAGATAGATGCCTGAGCTGAAACAAAGCATTCCACCAATAGGACTACTTGTTAAACCTGTAGGTACTTGGTAAACGCACAAACCAAACATCATCTGTATAACCATCCTACAAAATATTAAAGCATGAGATCACCAAAATCTTACACATACACATGCAAAAAACCCCTACTGTGCCTATTGCCAATTGTCTCTTGTGGTTTTTAATCGTGCCAATAGTTGTGGTTTTAGTTTAGTTTTAGTTTTGAGATATTCATGGTCACTACAGCCCAATGCATCTAAAATATTTGTTTGTGGTGCTCACCAGGTTGACAAATCACACTTTTCTAAAAATAAAAATACTGAAAACATCCACAGTATGGTAAATTAATCTCAAATGCTCACCTTACAAAACCAAAACTAAAACTATCTGCATGATTAGATAACACTAAGGATATGAGGGAATTTTTATTTATTTATTTTTATTTATGTGAACTAACCCTTTAAACTTACAGAAATGGACAGAATGTAGCATAGATCCATAACTCCACTATCAATGTTAATAACTGTGCTGCCTACTGAATAGTTTGTTACGCAGCTTTACTCCTGTAATACACATGTAGACTGTAAAAGATCACTGAGGCAAGTTTACTGAGCCTGTAAGGCTAAGATGATCAGCTGCAAACAGATGCAGAGCTGACGCTAGAGTCACAAGACTTCTTTCCCAGCCTGGGAGAAACAGCCCCCAGTTCAAGCAGACATCTTTTGTCTCACAAAAACACTGAACAACTCACTATTCCACACAGATGCAGGCACAGCCCTGAAATAAAGCCTCATTACCATGTGAGACTGTGCCTCTTTATTGCCATTGTTCTTTACTACATTGTTGCTGATAAATGAGCTTTGTTGTCATAGCCCATGATGGCATTTTTAACAGGGACACGTGAACACAAAAGTGAGTGATAATAAATGATACCTTCGTAAAACACCCTTACGTTCCAACTAGCACACACATATGCACAAGAATGCAGCGGGACAGGACAACAAAGCTGGAGGGCTGGAATTCCCAATATATACCCTCACTGCCTGCATTTCTCAGCATTTCCTGTTAACGCAGCTATAGAGAGGTGGAGGAGGAATGGGCCCTGGTGAATAATTTTCCTAGTAATAATCTGTCTTTCTTAGCAGCATCATGCACTGCAATTTCAGACAGTGAAACAAAGCTTCAACTGTTCCATATCAACCAGATAATTTATCTTCACAAAACGCAAAGCCATTACTTTTTTTTATAAATAAGGTCACAATTTTAACAAATGTAAGTAATATAGGTTCGTTAAGTTGTTTCCCTTTGATATTCGTATCTATAGCACAAAAAATCGCAGTGTGAACTAACATTACCAGTGCTTTCTTTTATCTTTTCTAACAAAACAAAAAATACCTTCTAGACAAAACATGTTTATGCACTGGCTTACATTATTGTAAATTAATATGGCAATTTGGCCCATTCAGAGTTTAGCTGTGGATAGGTAGGCACTTGTAAATACTGTAACGTTACTGGTGTAGCTCCGAAGGTTTTACACTGCTTTTAAATGACAGTCCATCCCAAGCTTTAATTTCAGGGTTGTTCCTTACCTGCTGAGTTTTAGCTTAGTTAGCTGGAGTTACAACACAGGTGAAATTGAATACAAAGCACTTATTGGGATTTGCTGAAAGTTGTCAAGCTCCAGCACCTGTTTCAACTGTCACACAAGACACTCAAACAAACAAAGTCTTAAATGTAAAAATCCCAACAACGCTCATAAGCATGAGCAAACAAATCAGTGGCTCCAGGAGCTCAAGTAGCCAACGCTGACTCTAATGTCAGCTAACGTTGCAATCAAAACTAAGCTAAGTTACGTGTCATATGATGAAACAATCCAAGCAATAATAACGGCGTAACGGCGTGTAACTACACGAATAATGTGGAATTACACCAAAATTAAGAGTTATCTATAATAAATTGCTAAATTAGCAAGCTACCCCATGTAATAACCAAGTTAACCTATGTGATGTTTGCTAAGTTAGCTTAGCCAGTTAGCTGAAACTCACCCTCTTCTGACAGGCCAGGTCCCAGCGCTTTGGAGAATGTCGTGTAGCTAATTCAAAACAGTTTGGGATTATAAAAGTAACGTTATTTCTCCTGTTTCTTCCCCGGTTCGGCAACTTCGTACGCCAAATCCTTGTGGCTATTAGCGATGTCACTCGATTATAACATACATGTTAGTGAGTTATTATAGGTTAAAATCCCCACCCTTGAAGTAACTGGAGTGCCAGAACAGTTGAATCCCACTCCCAGGCAGGTCCAAAGATGGCTGCCGACCGCTCCACCGCCGCCTCCCTTCGTGAAAATACGTTGGGGAAAATGTGAGGGAAGTTCAAACACTTCTGAAACACCCAAAACAAGTCACGATGGTATCCGCAATGCCGTGAAATAAACTGGGGATTTGACCTATCTCATCGGCATGGTAACTACTTAGCAGTTAGGTTTGGCTGTAACTCTGCCTATCTGACTATCCATCTTCCTTGGACATGCTGCAAAGAGTTCCGCCCTGCCTGTTGCAGTAAACTCTCACTGACCCAAAAACATTCAGAGGCGGAGACACTGACACTGGGGCTTAAAAACACTACCCTATAATATGTATGAGACCAAATACTCACTCTAACCGAACTTTGTTATTCACTTGGGGTTTGGAATCTCACATCCTATATTTTTCTGGCTACCCTCCAATTAAATGACTACACCACAGAATAGGTAATATAAAGATATACTACAGTCGCCTAATGTTATATTACCCTACAGTCCGTCCGCCCCCCGAAAGATTTTATAATCTGCATTGTAATGTGCAGAGTTTTTTTTTTTTTTTGAAGCAATGAATAATGAACCAGACACAACATGTTATTAACATGGAAGTTAGCTCCTTGGATCAGACACTTCAGCCATCCTCTTTGATGGCAGTGGTGTAACAGATGATCGTGATCTGTAATAATACAACTCACACAACTGTGTAGCCTATGCTCTAATGAGATGGTATGGATTCACAACTTTAGGTCTTTACAATTATAAACATATCTATTCAGTGGGAGCGAATAAGCAGTAGCGATAAGAACCTTCTACACCCACACTGTGTTTCCATACCTTTATGGGACATTACATTGACTTGCATTGATCTCCTGGAGACTTACCCTAACCATAACCATAGCCACTACCTGCCTAACACCTAACTAAGTCATCACACTAAAATTTTATGAATTATGTTTTGGGGACTTGCATAAGGACATAATCCCCACCATGTGACAGTGTAAACAGATTTACATCCCCACAACATGAGTAATACTAGGCCACACACACACATACTGGTCCACACCAGGGAATAAACCAGCAGTGCCCCTAGGACAGAGTGCTGTGTGCACTGCCCTGGGGATCCTCGGCATTTGTTGTTGAGGAGCCAAAGAGCACACCTCAAAGCCTTCCACTGTATTTTTCCTGAAGGTTTGATGTGAAGCGTTGCAAACATCTCAAACTACTAAGCACGACTAACATTAAGACAGGGAAACATCGAAATAGTATAACAAGTTGTTTTTAGCTTCTATAAAATTTGTATATGATTTGAGGATAAAAGTGAGGTTTCCAGGGCTGGGATTATGAAAGACAGGGTGGATTTATCATTTCAGAAATGGGTTTTTATAATGGTGGATATATACATATGAAGCTCAAACATCAACTACATTATTATTATAAGCATATTCATTCACAATTTTAAGCAATGCATCAAGAATAATCCCGCGACCCGGTCCCGGATAAGAGGAGGAAAATGGATGGATGGATGGATCAAGAATAAAAACATATTCAAATATTTTATTCTTGTAATGGATAGCAGCCTACAGGAGGGAGGTGGTTGGTCTGGTGTCATGGTGCAAGGACAATAATCTCACCCTCAACACGGACAAGATGAAAGAGATGATAGTGGACATGAGGAAGGAGAGGAGAACTCATCAGCCACTGTTCATCTGGGAGCTTGAAGTGGAGAGGGTGAAGAGCTTCAAATACCTGGGCGTCCACATCAGTGAGGACCTCACTTGGATACTTAACACCACACAGCTGGTCAAGAAGGCTCAACAGCGGCTGTACTTCCTGAGGAGGCTGAGGAGGTTTGGCATGTCGCCTAGGATCCTTTGCAACTTCTACAGCTGCACTGTTGAGAGCATCTTGACCAGCTGCATCACTGTGTGGTATGGTAGCACTACTGCTATGGACCGCAAGCGCCTGCAGACTGCGGAGAAGATCACCAGGACTCCACTGCCTCTCCGCAGAGCATCTACCACTGCAGAATCCACAGTGCAAACTATCTGCACACCTCTACCCTCAGGCAGGAGGTACAGAAGTGTGAAATGCAGGATTTCTAGACCAAAGAACTCTTTCTTTCCCACTGCCATCAGACTCCTAAACAGCTGACAGGAGTTTATAATCAGCAATTACTTCATGTAACTGCACCTGACTTTATGTTTTTAGTTTGCATATGTATAATTGCACACTCATTGTTGGCTGTTGCACATACAGCAGATGTAGCATATATTCTTATAATATTTTATTATCTTTTTCACATGCTGTTTTTAAAATTGCCTTTATTTTGTATTGTTATTTATCTGTTTAATATTTAGACTTTATATTGTTTGGCATTCATTATGGACAGCAAAGGAAGAATTTCATTGTGCAGGGAAACACTACTGTGCATATGACAATAAACACTTTGACTTTTTGATTTTTTTATCATCACAATAGCTTTAAATATGAGTAGCGCAATAGAAAACAGTCAACAGTAATGCATCATACTGTGTTAAGTGATCATATACTGTATTTTGTATAATTAGCAGCGGGATAAGGGCTCTGATTATCACCAGTGCTTTTATTTTGAAGAAACAGGCGTCAGTACACGCCTCTGTCATCGCGCCGGTGTGAATCCGGAAGTTAGTTGCATGATTTTCCCACATGGCGAAAATGGCTGCGAATGGGGAAAAACAACAGGGCCACAGAGCCGGCGCATATAAACAGAAAAATAAAGGACACAAACATGGCAAGCACCGGACGAAAGGTGAAATTGAGAGAGAGAACAAAGGTAAGCTATGCTCATTTACGAAGTGTAACTTTTAGCAGCTGTTACACAGCCGGTGTTGTGTTAATGTTAGCTCGTGGCTCTGCAACAACACGCGTTGAATTTTCGGTGAGTTTAGGAGTATAATCAATTCACCAGAGGGCGTGGTACACCTAAATCAAGTTTTTGTTGTTGTTTTTGTGCGGAAAAACCAATCATGCGCCGTGTTTTGCTTGTCTTGACTGACCCGGTGGAGTGTACATCTACAGTATGTGTGTGTGGGGAAAGAGGAAGACTTCCTGGAGAGCACCCAGAGCTTCCTTCCCTTTATTACCAGCCTTCGTTGGTGGATCAAACTACATCTGTCTCAAATCGTAGCCCAACTCAGGGTAGTCATTCCCATCAAGCTTATAAATTATCTCCCAGGCCTTCTCAGTATCCCTCTGCTCTGCCTTACCCCTATGACGAGGGTCTATTTTATCCACCTAGTTTTTACAGCTCTCACTATCCTTATGGACCAGTTTCCTACCCAAACCCTGATCTTGAGGTGCAACCACTTGCTGCTTCACATCCAACCACCAGGATTACGGTTCCCAAAAAACCGGACAGTCCCCCTTATCCCTCTGGCCAGTTTTACCCCTTTTACTTCCCATCTCTTCTGGCTGCCAAAGAGAAGCCTCCAACCATTCCTCAGAAACTCACAGCTTCACAAGCCACCTGCCCCCCTGGCGCCACTCACAGCATGTGTACCTACTATACTTATCCTTATTATCCCCATTATCCTCTCCACTACCCTCCTGTGCCCCAGTATAGAGATACTCAATTACCAGTGAGAAAGCCTTCAGCCACCACTACTTCTGCTATTATGACTGCAACAGTTCATCCGACTCCAGAGATGCACCACCTCCGGTGTCTAACAAGGAGAATGGTTGTCTTCCTGCCTTTTGCTCACCCAGACTCGCCACAGATGGCTGCCTTGGTTTTGTGCAGGGAAACAAATTCCTTGTGTGTGTAACACACTTGGCCAAATAAAAGTGATTGTCCTTATCAGCTGTATCTGCTAAGCACCTCCTGGAAAGCTTTTTTTGGTCACCTGGCAACTGGCGCCCAACATGTGGGTTTGCCCTGTGCGCCCTCTTCCCCAATCCCCGCAGCAAGCGCAGTGCCTACCGCGTCCTATCTGAAAGCCCTTTAAGGTGAATCATCTATAACTGTCTGTCCATGTTTGGACAGACGAGCCACAGACAAGCTGTTGGGTCACAGGATGTCTCTGTCCACAGAATGTGTGTCTATATTTTCAAGTAAAATTTTTCCTTCATATCCTCTATTATATCCATGAACTATGTCGATTTTTACTGTTACTAGTTTAGAGATGTTTTCTTTGATAATACAGCGTTGGGTTGAAATGAATGTTTTAAAGCAACATTGATATTGTAGGCATCAACTTCAGTAGTCTATGTGAATTTTGACAACTGGTGCTGGTCAGTACATGTTTCCAGTGAGTGACACCGGCTCTGCAGAAAGAAGGTGACAATATATTGCACTAGAAGGTCTTTTGTGGTTTGTTTTGCAATTGTAAACTAAACTGGGCATGCAAATTATATTATATGCATAGTATTTTATGCATTATAGAAGTGCCAGAAGCACACAACTACTGGTAAAACTCATTTAAAACATATTTACCCCATCACTTGGGTCAAAAATGTTTGTGTTGAACTGTCTCACAGGGAGAGTGTCAGTGATGGCCCTTACCAAAAAACAGAGGAAGGAGCAAAAGAAGATGGACCGAAGGAACAAGGCCAACCAGTTACGCAGGAATAAGAAAGAGATGGTATTTTTCCATTTGCAAATCAAGAATAGCCTTCCTTGAATTCCTAATTGCTGCTGCAGAATTTCCATGTCTTTTGTCATTTTAGGTCCTGACGGAGAAGCGGCGTCTAGGCAGCAGAGACGGTCCTCCCCATTTGGTTGCTGTGGTGTCCCTGCATGCTGGAGCTGACACTGGTGCTGTTACCAAACTGCTCCGTGGAGAGGGTGCAGGGGGTGTCGTACGTCAGGAGCAGTGCATTAGCGGCGTCACTGACAGCTTTGGGTTAATTTTGCCACGTTTTAAACAAAGGTTCACCTTTCTACAACAGAGCACAGGTAAGTATTGACTGAAATGGAAAAAAAACTCAGCTCAAATGAAATTAGATAATTTTCCTCCTTCAAAATCATAAGCAGTGGTACGAGAGAATACCCATTAACTTATAAGACAAGGTAGCTGCAGAGATGGTGAAATCAAATGTCTCATCTTTTTACAAAGGACGTGTACGTTGGCACTGGTTCAGTGAAACGGTGTAATGTAAAATGCTGCTGTAGCACGATTCAAAGCACATGTTTATCGACGGTTCATGCTGTTGCTGTACTATTTTGTCTTTGCACCGAGTCTTTTGTTTCCCCACTCTGAAGCCTGTTTCATCTTTTGTTTGGACAGCTGACATGCACTCCCTGCTGGATGTGGCAAAGATTGCAGATAGCCTTGTATTTGTACTGGACTCTAGTGAAGGTTGGGACAGCTATGGCAACCACTGCCTCTCCTGTCTCTTTGCTCAGGGCCTCCCCAGCTACAGTAGGTGTAAACATGAACACACTGCTCAAGCATTTAGACTCCTCCATTTACACTGGTAGAGACTTCCACTGCAGTAAATGTTCTACATCAGATTTTTGATTTCTTTCCTGCTGTACATTTTCTAACCCATCGTCTCTCTGTCCCATTAACCCCATGTAGCCTTGGTGTGTCAGGGTGTGTCTGATCTTCCTGTGAAGAAGAGGGTCGAGTCCAGGAGAGCTCTGTCAAAGATCACCGAGCTTCGTTTTCCTGATGCCCGTCTCTTCCCTCTGGATACAGCACAGGATGCCATTCTACTTCTCAGACACCTTGGCACTCAGAGACAGAGAAAGCTTGGGTTCCGCTCCAGACGGTCCCATCTTTTGGCTCAGCATGCCACGTTTACACCCAACTGCCCTGCTGAGGGGACAGGTGCTGGACCCACAGGCTTAGGTACCCTCTGTGTGTCTGGGTACGTCCGTGGCCGTCCTCTGCGGGTTGACAGACTGGTGCACATCAGTGGACATGGAGACTTTCAGCTCAGTCAGATTGATGCTCCATCAGACCCGCTTCCCCTCAACTTAACAGCCCCCAGAGCAGCAAAGCCTGGCATTGGTGGAGATGTTGACATGCCGGTAGGTGTTTTTGGACTGTATTGTTTAGATATTATTGAACAAATTTAGTAAAAATTTAAAAAGGCTTCTGTTTCTGACAGTGCTTTCACACCTATAGATAAAGAGCAGCTGGCTGTATCTGGCCTGCAGTCGTTCTGGGCCTGTGTTATATTGACCAAGTAGTTTACATCCTCTGATCTGACTGGACAGTTTTCTGACGTATCCACTGTGCTGTGTATGCCGGCCATTGTTTCCACATGTTGTTCTTTTCTTTTATGTCCTGGTACCTCGCTAAAACACTTGGGAGACTGCAATGACAAGTTTTTTTTTTCTGCGTTTAGTTTAAAAATTCCTTCATGTAGTAAAAAGGAGTAGCAAACAGTTATGTGCTTTTGTTTCTGCTAGAATCAAGATGATTGTGATCGGCTGTTACCTCCACTGTATCAGAGGATATTGGCATAAAGTTGTGCATTCCTCCACTTTCCCCTGTAGCATAGCTCAGCGCTATCTGATGTAATGTACAGTAAATGTCACACTACATGAGTGGTGGTAAACAGGCTAGAATATGCAAAAACACTGGTCATCTTCTATTGGACTTTATAACACTTGGTTTTAACCCGGCCACCTGCATTTCCCACAGGATGGAGGCGAAGATGAGGCTGCAGTGCGGGTGCTCATGAAAGCCGACCCATCCTGCAGGGAGAGTCTGCTGGCAGAGGCTGAGGTGGATCCCATGGAAGGAGAGCAGACATGGCCAACAGAAACAGAGCTGCTGGAAGCTGAAGGTGCAGAAACAGAATTTCACACATGATAACATTTAGAGAATATTCAGCTGGTGAGATGAGAATACCTGTGAACCGACATAAGGTATTGTTCAACTGGTTGAGGTCTTAACCTGTGTCAAAGAGTAGTCCCACCTGATTAGGTTTGGTTTGAGTCTGCCACAGTTTTGTTTTGGAGGAATCCTTCTGGGATTAACACTGTATTATCACTGTGGGAGGGGTCCCATGTGCAAGCAACAGTTGAATTGAGGAAATGTTGTACAGATCAGTCCGGTTTGCCAGGTGCTGCTGATATTTGCCACATATCCTTTGGTTACACTTTTATGTGACACCATGATGTCATGATAGCTAAACACAGTCACTCAGATGAAAAACATGTTCATAGATGTGTCGTCTTCAGTTAGTTGTGAGCAAAATGATATTGAACATGACATTTTGTTTGTGTCGAAGTACCTTTCATCCTAAAATCATGTTCAGGAACAGAACTGAATCAGAAGCCTCGTGTACTTAAATGTCTTTCTGGATTTAAATATAGTTAGTTTTTTTTTTTTTTTTTACGGCTTTATGAATGAACAATGAAACCACAGTCACAGTCTTGCTGTGATGCTTCTCTGTGCTGTTCAGAGGCCAGGAAGAGCAAACGTGTAATGAAGGTCCCTAAAGGAACATCAGATTACCAAGCAATGTGGATCGTGGATGAAGATGAGGAGGAGAATGGAGAGATAGATGAGGAAAGCAGCGATGATGATGATGATGATGACGACATGATGGACGAGGCCATGGATGCAGAGGAGGAGGAGAGCTCTCAGGTATACATTTACAGTGATTCTGATTTTAAACTTATATTCAGCACCATAATCTCTTACACACACAGTGTGTGTGTGTGTGTGTGTGTGTGTGTGTGCGCGCAGATGCAGTGACACTAGGTGGCACACAGTGAGGTGAAGATGTTTCAGTCTGCCAGATAGCAGGAAAGGATTCTGATTTTCTGTTTTGGAATATGTGAAACAAATGAGCAAAAATGCTGTCAGTGATGAATAACAGATAGCAGAAACACTAGTGGTCAAATATGTTTCAATGAAGACAGGTGTTTAGATAGTAAGTGAATTTTTTAAAGTTTCATCATTTAATTTAGCCCAGAAATCCATCCATTATCTATACCGCCTATCCTGAATAGGGCCCCGGGGGACTGGAGCCAATCCCAGCTGACACTGGTGGTTCCGAGGCTGGAGCAGTGCATACGTGACCCACGTCAGTGCACCTCGCTGCTGAGAGGCAGTGTTTGTTTTTTCACTGTCTGCCTCTGGCCTGTAATGCCAGGCTGGTCACCACAACAATAGTGTTTGGAGCAGGAGTCCTGAGAGAAGCCTCCTGTCTTGTGAACAGAGCTTCCTGTCTGGTCAAAAGGAGGGGTCCGCCATTGATTTGTTTCCAGCGCTGCTTGAAAAGAAATCGAGGAAAGTCTCCTTACGCAACGGGTTCATTATAATCTGTAAGTGTTATTAGCATGTTTGTTGTTGCGGCTGGTGCACAGGAATACATATTTAGCAGAGAGTAACAATGGGAAAGGGGTACTTCAAATGATAATGATTATTATTATTGCAGCAGGGACATTGGAAAGGTTGTGATTCGACCCCCTGATGAGTGCTTTCCCCTCATGTCTCGGAGCCCCTCCTGTAATTTGCCAGCCGAGGAAGCAGCGTTCTGCACGTTTTCTTTGAAGATTCATTTCCTTATAGATATACTGTATATTCCCAGTAGAAGTGGAATTTATAGATGCTGTAAGAGTGGGTGTCTAGAGACAGCCTGGGCAGGGCCCAGCATTTAATTATATGCAAACCAAAGAGTCCTGTAGTTTGAATTGTGGCAACTCCTTATCACATTCACACATGTGCAGTACAGGTCTCGGTTGTGGCCGTGCTGGTCTTGTTTATGTTTGGCTATTATACAATTACAGTATCTATACTTAGAATCTCTTTGATTGCATTTGCTTCTTATGCTCCCAACACGTGCATCTAGTCATTGTTTGGAAAACATTGAGATTGCATGTTAGAAAATAGGGAGGGAAAATGTGTTTAACAGGAAGTGACAGGAAGTGCAACAGCAGTATTACTTAAACAAAGGCAAAAGAATAGCAGAGACACCTACTTGTCTGCAGCTGCATCTGTAGCTGTAGTCTTGAGAGTGAGGTCTTTGAGGTGATTGCTCATTTGGAACAGGGGGAGCCACCAGCAGTGCTGGTATAGTTATAGTTTTCCATTATTGGACTGTACTGGAACATGTCAAGCCAAGTAACGCTTGTCGAGGGTTCTGTGTTTGCTTCCACTGCCCTCCACCCACTTTGGAGGTGTGTTCTGGGAGCTAAATTTCAGCATGCCTCAGGAGGTCACACTAAAATAAAGTTCCAGGAATGTGGGGGGGGGGTGCATGCATGCATAGCAATCACCTGTGACTGGTTAATTGTTCTTGGTTAAATGTTCTTCACACCTCAATCAATAGCATTACAGGTGCATTGTGCAAAGAGGCATTTTTATACTGGTTTAGAGGAACAACCTCAAATCAGAAAACGTTGGGACGTTATGTAAAATCAAAATCAATACTGAAAATAGTGATTTGTAAATGATCTTTGTCCTGTATTACCTGGAAACAATACAGCAGCACATTTTTATTCTTTGTTCAAAATAAACACACTTCAATTCTGCAATGTTCCAAAAAAAGTTGGGACAGCTGCATTTCAGGGCCAGTAATGAGGTAAAACTGCAAAATGATGATTCCACTTCAAACAGGTGATGTCAACAGGTACCGTAACTGCATCATGATGTGGTACAACAGAGGCGTCCAGGAAAGGCTGAGACCTTTAGGAACAAAGATGGGCCAAGGACCACCAGTTTGCCAACATATGTGTGAGGAAATGATTGAAATGTTTAAAAACAATGTTCCTCATAGAAGGATAGGAAGGGATTTGGATATGTCACCCTCTACAGTGCAGAACATCATTAAAAGATTTAAGGAATCTGGAGGGATTTCAGTGCATCAAGTGCACAAGCCTAAGCTGGATGACCATGCTCTCTGATCCCTCAGATGGCACCGCATCAAGAACCATCACTCTTCTATAAGC